TAGGGTTAGGGTTAGGGTTAGGGTTAGGGTTAGGGTTAGGGTTAGGGTTAGGGTTAGGGTTAGGGTTAGGGTTAGGGTTAGGGTTAGGGTTAGGGTTAGGGTTAGGGTTAGGGTTAGGGTTAGGGTTAGGGTTAGGGTTAGGGTTAGGGTTAGGGTTAGGGTTAGGGTTAGGGTTAGGGTTAGGGTTAGGGTTAGGGTTAGGGTTAGGGTTAGGGTTAGGGTTAGGGTTAGGGTTAGGGTTAGGGTTAGGGTTAGGGTTAGGGTTAGGGTTAGGGTTAGGGTTAGGGTTAGGGTTAGGGTTAGGGTTAGGGTTAGGGTTAGGGTTAGGGTTAGGGTTAGGGTTAGGGTTAGGGTTAGGGTTAGGGTTAGGGGTTAGGGTTAGGGTTAGGGTTAGGGTTAGGGTTAGGGTTAGGGTTAGGGTTAGGGTTAGGGTTAGGGTTAGGGTTAGGGTTAGGGTTAGGGTTAGGGTTAGGGTTAGGGTTAGGGTTAGGGTTAGGGTTAGGGTTAGGGTTAGGGTTAGGGTTAGGGTTAGGGTTAGGGTTAGGGTTTAGGGTTAGGGTTAGGGTTAGGGTTAGGGTTAGGGTTAGGGTTAGGGTTAGGGTTAGGGTTAGGGTTAGGGTTAGGGTTAGGGTTAGGGTTAGGGTTAGGGTTAGGGTTAGGGTTAGGGTTAGGGTTAGGGTTAGGGTTAGGGTTAGGGTTAGGGTTAGGGTTAGGGTTAGGGTTAGGGTTAGGGTTAGGGTTAGGGTTAGGGTTAGGGTTAGGGTTAGGGTTAGGGTTAGGGTTAGGGTTAGGGTTAGGGTTAGGGTTAGGGTTAGGGTTAGGGTTAGGGTTAGGGTTAGGGTTAGGGTTAGGGTTAGGGTTAGGGTTAGGGTTAGGGTTAGGGTTAGGGTTAGGGTTAGGGTTAGGGTTAGGGTTAGGGTTAGGGTTAGGGTTAGGGTTAGGGTTAGGGTTAGGGTTAGGGTTAGGGTTAGGGGTTAGGGTTAGGGTTAGGGTTAGGGTTAGGGTTAGGGTTAGGGTTAGGGTTAGGGTTAGGGTTAGGGTTAGGGTTAGGGTTAGGGTTAGGGTTAGGGTTAGGGTTAGGGTTAGGGTTAGGGTTAGGGTTAGGGTTAGGGTTAGGGTTAGGGTTAGGGTTAGGGTTAGGGTTAGGGTTAGGGTTAGGGTTAGGGTTAGGGTTAGGGTTAGGGTTAGGGTTAGGGTTAGGGTTAGGGTTAGGGTTAGGGTTAGGGTTAGGGTTAGGGTTAGGGTTAGGGTTAGGGTTAGGGTTAGGGTTAGGGTTAGGGTTAGGGTTAGGGTTAGGGTTAGGGTTAGGGTTAGGGTTAGGGTTAGGGTTAGGGTTAGGGTTAGGTTAGTTAGGGTTAGGGTTAGGGTTAGGGTTAGGGTTAGGGTTAGGGTTAGGGTTAGGGTTAGGGTTAGGGTTAGGGTTAGGGTTAGGGTTAGGGTTAGGGTTAGGGTTAGGGTTAGGGTTAGGGTTAGGGTTAGGGTTAGGGTTAGGGTTAGGGTTAGGGTTAGGGTTAGGGTTAGGGTTAGGGTTAGGGTTAGGGTTAGGGTTAGGGTTAGGGTTAGGGTTAGGGTTAGGGTTAGGGTTAGGGTTAGGGTTAGGGTTAGGGTTAGGGTTAGGGTTAGGGTTAGGGTTAGGGTTAGGGTTAGGGTTAGGGTTAGGGTTAGGGTTAGGGTTAGGGTTAGGGTTAGGGTTAGGGTTAGGGTTAGGGTTAGGGTTAGGGTTAGGGTTAGGGTTAGGGTTAGGGTTAGGGTTAGGGTTAGGGTTAGGGTTAGGGTTAGGGTTAGGGTTAGGGTTAGGGTTAGGGTTAGGGTTAGGGTTAGGGTTAGAGGTTAGGGTTAGGGTTAGGGTTAGGGTTAGGGTTAGGGTTAGGGTTAGGGTTAGGGTTAGGGTTAGGGTTAGGGTTAGGGTTAGGGTTAGGGTTAGGGTTAGGGTTAGGGTTAGGGTTAGGGTTAGGGTTAGGGTTAGGGTTAGGGTTAGGGTTAGGGTTAGGGTTAGGGTTAGGGTTAGGGTTAGGGTTAGGGTTAGGGTTAGGGTTAGGGTTAGGGTTAGGGTTAGGGTTAGGGTTAGGGTTAGGGTTAGGGTTAGGGTTAGGGTTAGGGTTAGGGTTAGGGTTAGGGTTAGGGTTAGGGTTAGGGTTAGGGTTAGGGTTAGGGTTAGGGTTAGGGTTAGGGTTAGGGTTAGGGTTAGGGTTAGGGTTAGGGTTAGGGTTAGGGTTAGGGTTAGGGTTAGGGTTAGGGTTAGGGTTAGGGTTAGGGTTAGGGTTAGGGTTAGGGTTAGGGTTAGGGTTAGGGTTAGGGTTA